AATTCATTTTTCTACTACTCTTAAGTAACCTGCCAGCTAAATTTTAAAATAGTGATTTGTAAAACTAATGAGGAAATCATTGCTTTAGTTGCTCGTTTTAAGCTAGCCCTTTTGGTTAAATATATTTTTGGTGGGCACTCAACTGACTATTTTAGGAAACCTTTTACCAATCTTAAACTATTTGGTTGTCTTAAACTTCGCCATTTGGACAAAAGAATGTGTTTTGATTTACTTACATCATTTAGATGACAAATCTGGACTTTTTGTTAGAAGAATTTATTTCATTAATGGTTTTCTAATAAAAATGTTTAAACGAACTACAATAAATTCTAATGTAGAGTATCCATTTTTTTTTTGAATTGGATTAAATTGACTAGAAAATGTGTTCACTTCATAATTCATGACATTCTTCTTTTTTAGTTAGCCTCTTGTAGTGGATTATTCTATATCTTCTCTTTCTTGACCTTTTAAAGCAAGGATATTAACTGCAATTGATTTATTTGAAACATTTGATATTGAAGTTTGTTGAATTTCAAGAAGTATGCAAACTTTAAAAAAGTTGAGTTTGAAAATTTGTTATTTTGCAATTGTAAATACAAGTTACATAGTAATTCTTTTGGTATTTTTTCAGCTTTATTTTAGAATAAAATTTTCTTCTATGAAACTTATACCAAATTCTATGCCTATGAAGGGTGTTACTACTTCTTGGGTTCTAATTTCTCAACCAAATTTTATTAATGTGATTCTTTATAAGCCTCAAGTGGCAAGTGTGGAGAATTGTATTCCCATATTTAAGATTCTATATTTGTGAGTAAGGTTGACTAAATTTTAAAATAGTGATTTGTAAAACTGATGAGGAAATCATTGCTTTAGTTGCTCGTTTTAATCTAGCCCTTTTGGTTAAATATGTTTTTGGTGGGCATTCAACTGACTATTTTAGGAAACCTTTTACCAATCTTAAACTATTTGGTTGTCTTAAACTTCGCCATTTGGACAAAAGAATGTGTTTTGATTTACTTACATCATTTAGATGACAAATCTGGACTTTTTTTTAGAAGAATTTATTTCATTAATGGTTTTCTAATACAAATGTTTAAACGAACTACAATAAATTCTAATGTAGAGTATCCATTTTTTTTTTGAATTGGATTAAATTGACTAGAAAATGTGTTCACTTCATAATTCATGACATTCTTCTTTTTTAGTTAGCCTCTTGTAATGGATTATTCTATATCTTCTCTTTCTTGACCTTTTAAAGCAAGGATATTAACTGAAATTGATTTATTTGAAACATTTGATATTGAAGTTTGTTGAATTCCAAGAAGTATGCAAACTTTAAAAAAGTTGAGTTTGAAAATTTGTTATTTTGCAATTGTAAATACAAGTTACATAGTAATTCTTTTGGTATTTTTTCAGCTTTATTTTAGAATAAAATTTTCTTCTATGAAACTTATACCAAATTCTATGCCTATGAAGGGTGTTACTACTTCTTGGGTTCTAATTTCTCAACCAAATTTTATTAATGTGATTCTTTATAAGCCTCAAGTGGCAAGTGTGGAGAATTGTATTCCCATATTTAAGATTCTATATTTGTGAGTAAGGTTGAGATTAAAATGGAGATAATTGAGCATAATCATTACCCTTTTCATGATTTAATTTTATCAAAGGTGTAGGTAGTGTTTTGTTTCTAATCTTAAGATAACCATTGATGTCGTAAAAATGATTATAATTTGTTAGTTGGTAATGCTATGTTGGTTAAGAATGTTTTATATGTGAAGGATAATTTTGGTTAGCATTTTGTTTGGTCTTCTGAATCATTGCACACATGAGTAAGATTTTTAGATCCCTGAGGGTTTTCAAATTTAGATATTGATGTCTCTCAAAAGTATTAGGTCCATGTTTAGTTGTTTTCTTAAATAAAATTGAATAGAGATTTTTGTTTGTCAATTTTGACTTTAAAATAGTTAAATTAAAAAGGAAGGCAGACCTTAAAAAGGTTTAATTGATTCTACTTATAGTACTAACGACTATAAAATTGTTTTCTCTAATCGTAAAGTCAAACTCTTAGCTTAGACTGTGAGAGTTGTTGATAAACATTATTCAAGAAAAAATGAATTAAATTATTAAAAAAATGATATATTTCAAAATTTAGTTTTATTGGAGCCAATGGTTGATAGTTCTAAACTTTTATTGTTAAAATTTTATTTATGACTTGCTAATGGCTTCTTTAATTATATTGATAGAAGTTGATTTTTTTAGAATAATTATATTAATTAAAATTATTAATTATTTTATCAACTTCTCTATCTTAGTTTTTATAATGGTATTATTTTATTTATTCTAGTAGTAACAATGTTGTTAGGTGAATTTTATAGGATAATTTAGTTTCCATATCTTCTTTGTTTTCATTACCTTAGTTAATGGCTCATGATTTCTATTATTTTTTATATTATGTTAAATGAGTAAGGAAATCTCTCAATCTTTTTTTATGGAGAAATTTATGAAAATAATTATGCCCCATATTTAAGATTCTATATTTGTGAGTATGGTTGAGATTAAAATGGAGATAAGTGAGCATAATCATTACGCTTTTCATGATTTAATTTTATCAAAGGTGTAGGTAGTGTTTTGTTTCTAATCCTAAGATAACCATTGATGTCGTAAAAATGATTTTAATTTGTTAGATGGTAATGCTATGTTGGTTAAGAATGTTTTATAAGTGAAGGATAATTTTGGTTAGCATTTTGTTTGGTCTTCTGAATCATTGCAAACATGAGTAAGATTTTTAGATCCCTGAGGGTTTTCAAATTTAGATATTGATGTCTCTCAAAATTATTAGGTGCATGTTTAGTTGTTTTCTTAAATAAAATTGAATAGAGATTTTTGTTTGTCAATTCTGACTTTAAAATAGTTAAATTAAACAGGAAGGCAGACCTTAAAAAGGTTTAGTTGATTATACTTATAGTACTAACGACTATAAAATTGTTTCTTCTAATCGTAAATTCAAACTCTTAGCTTGGACTGTGAGAGTTGTTGATAAACATTATTCAAGAAAAAGTGAATTAAATTATAAAAAAAATGATATATTTCAAAATTTAGTTTTATTGGAGCCAATGGTTGATAGTTCTAAACTTTTATTGTTAAAATTTTATTTATGACTTGCTAATGGCTTCTTTAATTATATTGATAGAAGTTGATTTTTTTAGAATAATTATATTAATTAAAATTATTAATTATTTTTATCAACTTCTCTATCTTAGTTTTTATAATGGTATTTTTTTATTTATTTTAGTAGTAACAATGTTGTTAGGTGAATTTTATAGGATAATTTAGTTTCCATATCTTCTTTGTTTTCATTACCATAGTTAATATCTGATGATTTCTACTATTTTTTAAATTATGTTAAATGAGTAGGGAAATCTCTCAACCTTTTTTTATGGAGAAATTTATGAAAATAATTATGCATTGTGATCCATTAATTCTAGTTTTTATAGTAAAACATTTATTGGGAGTAATGGAAGAATTTTGGAATTACTAGAAAGTGTCATATGGCTTGTTTATTAGCTTAATTGTATTGAATGCACTATGGTTGAAAATTTGAGTAAAGCTTCACTTAATTTTGCTTCTCTTTTAGCTTATATTACTAGGTTTTGCTTTGCAAGGCCCTTTTCCCTTATGGATTTCAAAATATGTGGCTTCTTTACAAATAAATTTTTTTATGTAGTCGGTCTAATAGGGATAAATCTTTTATTGGCTGTATCTTATCTATTTCTTAGCTGATGATAATAACATATTTAAATTTGTTATGTAATCTTAGAATTAAAATTTTATTGCCAGCTTGTTTTAAATTTGAAGGGATAGTGTGTTGTATATTTCTTTTTTGGAAGGCTTTCATAGTTTCAAGAAGTTTCGCAAATAAAAATGATTATGTAATTGGGTGAGAGATTATTTTCTCCTTCAAATTTGTGAAGAGAAAGTTGGGAGACAAAAGGATGTTACTAAAAAACTATAGTGTGGTGATATGAATAGCAAATATCTTCATTCAATAGTTAAGTGAAAAGGCTTAAAAATATAATTTACAAATATTAGGGATTCTAGTAGCTTGTGAGTTGAGCATCCTTAAAAAATTTAGCACTCAACTATGTATTCCTTTTATAAACTCTTTTTTTAAGGAGATTGTGAGGCGGACTTTTTTTAAATCAAATTTTATCATTTTTTGTCATCCTCTTCCAGCATTCCATCATTTCTACGACGTAAATCCGTATTTAATAAGTCTAACTGAGTCAAATTTATTCCGCCGTTGTTTGCCAGCTTTTCCATCACAATGTTAATGTGATAAATTTAAATTTATTTGATTTAATAAATATTATTTAATATAAAACTATGTTGCAGCCAAACACGATGCTATGCCAAGATCATCATTACAAGCTGAAGCGTAAATCATTAGAGCAGTTAGTTGATTCAGCGATCTGTCAAAGAACAGAGGAGAGATGTCAGCATCCTTAGTCTAATAGGGATAAATCTTTTAGATCTGTCAAAGAACAGAGGAGAGATGTCAGCATCCGAAGCATTCTTGAGCAAACATTAATTTCACTCATAACATATAACAGCTATATATGACTACCACAAGGCTAAATTTGCAATATTTAAGCAATTTTCAGCTAATTCCAACTAATACTAAAAACTCTCTATCTCTCTCTCAGCTACAGCAAATCTATCAATTGAGCTTCAAGCTTCCTCTGCTTTTTCACCCTTTCTATAAAATCTTCCACCCTCTTGTTCAGCTCTTCCATTTCTTCATTTCCGTCATCTTCATCGTTGTCACCATCGTCTTCTTCTTCTTCCATTGCTCCTTTCCTCTTTCCAAACATTATATCAGCTTCATCATTGTATCTTCTACAAGACATTTTTTGAAAGTTTCTGTTTCTGTTAACATACTCCTGATGAATGTCAGGCCGCATGGAAGACTTCGAGAGCTTCGATTCTCTTACGAGGATGAGGACGATTATATTGCAGACAACGAAAATCCCTTTCGGGCCGAAAGCATTTGCCTCCATTTTCTTAATGATGGGGATGATAGAAGGAAGCCAATTGGGGCTTGAGAGAAAGAGGCCAATGGAGAAGACAGATAACATAAGTTTAATAATACCTAGGAGGAACAATTCTTTTTTGTTCTTGGATTTCTTGATGGCGTCTATCTTCTCTGAGAATGTAGGATCCATAGCGTTGAGATCTCAGAGGGCAGAACATAGAACAATGTGTGTGGATGATCATAAATAGGCAGTGGAAAGTTTAGAAAGGAGATTTGATTTTTGTTTTTATTTAATGCTTGCGTTGTTTATGTGGTGAGCTACTTCACACGCTGCATGGGCACTTTTGCTTTGATTTGTTTCTTTTTCTTTTTTATTGTTTTATGTGGTGGGTTTTTCTTAGGAAAAAACAGAGAGACAGAGAGAAGGCTAGGGGTGTTTATTTATTTAATTATTTAATTTAATAGCTCTGCCACCTGTTGAATTTGAATGGGGCACATCTGTAGATAATTTGAAGGCGGGTAGAGCTGCATCCCATTGATTTATTTGTTTGTAATTGGAGTAGTTCAATTAATTTTGTTAATTTGAAATGAAATTTTTTGTTGAATGTTATTTTGACTTCTAATTATTGAACTAAGATAAAATGATATTTTTGTAATGTGGTACCGCTCACCTACCACATCTCAGCTACCTCCCACATACCGCTCACCTACTTCTCACCTACCACTCTCTTGTTTCTATAAATAGAGAGGGTGTGAGGCTTAGGAGAGCAAGAGAAGAGATCTTAAGCTACCACAAAGGAGGAGAGAATAGCTAGAGAGCTAGAGAGAAGGAGAGCATCTTGAGGCCTTGTATCAAGGTGTCGCTTGAGAGGGAGGCCATAGGAAGATGAGGGCTCATCTCTATGTATAAGCTATGTATTCTCCATTTTATTTGCCTTAGTGAACTATTTGATTGATTCCCTCCCGTGGACGTAGATCCAGTTGGATCGAACCACGTAAATAATCTGTGTTTGCTTGTGTTCTTTGTGTTTCATTTCTATGCCAGGAAGTACATATCTCACAACATTGAATAATTATATGAATTTTACAAACATAAAATAAAAATTTATGTATTGACTCCAGTTTATCTTGCTTGAGAATAGTTGGATTCATTAAAAAGCTATGAAAATTTTTAGCTATGATTTAGAGATGAATGAACACAGCTCAATGCTATATATTTAAAGTAGGAAATGGTTACTTGGCTGTAAAAGCTCGGCAAAATTTTTGGGCAAAGATTAACAAATTTTATAAAAAAAGGTAATATTTTAATCATAACGCTTGATTATATATTTATGTGATTATAAGATAGTTATACATGATGGTTAAAGGCTAAATTGTCATACTTAACTCATTAGTAAACCATAGTGCAGAAATAAGAATTAACTAAAAGCGTCTGACGGATGAAAATCAGCAATGTTGAACGAAGGAGAGATGTTCAGTTCTGGTAGTAAGGAGATAACATAAACATTATCCTTAATTTCTTATGCGAATGGGTATATGCCAGTTTAATGCAATTTAAGCTTAGAGTACATCCCAACAGTAAACCATTCCTTTCGTAAATGAATCATAATGAGTTCCCCCACCTTGAAGTCCATAAAGCATATTTTTCTACCAGCTTTAAGTTTATACTGGACGACATTGTTGGAGAGTTTCTGTTTGATTTCCTGTAGCATAGAACTTAAATTAGAAGTCATGTTATCAGCAACCTTGCTTTGAAATTTAAAGTGAATAACAAGATCTATTGTGTGGTCTGTATACATAGAAAATGTGTCCGCACAAATCTCGAAGATATCTCACGGATGGTGGAAGAGGAGATGTGACCGTGCGGGACCTAGCAAAGACTATCCAGGACCACGTGCTTAATCGGCCAGCGCCACGTGCACCACGAAGACATAACACATCAGATGGATAAAATATAAATAACCTCATAAGAAACCCGTCTGACCAGATCCACTCCGATGAACCTGGCGCATTCCAACGAAGATAAACCGACAAGATGAAAAGTATACGCCGGTTTCAGAGCGGTTGATGTGAACCCTCAGCAAGTAACCGCTTGGCCTAATGGCCGCCCAACCTCATAGCCACCTGGCTTGATGGTCGTCCAACTCGATAGACGCCTAACTTAATTGTCGGTCGGCCTCACGACCGCCAGGTTTGATGGTGTCTGGCAATATCTTTGGCTTCATGGGCCATATATTTTTATGTACAGACTGAAATACCCCAGGCATACCTACGTACTTTAGGGGTAAAGTGTATAATTTTACAATGACCCAATATTATAAATAGGTCTCATTTCATGAATAAAAGTTATGTAATTTTACTATTCATTGTTGTGTTATTGTTCGCCCTTTTCTCTCTCTCTCTTCCATCCTTCAGCGCTTTATTACTTAGGCGTTACTTTCGAACAGATTTGAATTCAACAACTTAAAAGGTGCGGTGAGTGTTGAGTCCTACAGTTGATAAAAAGATGAGCAGAACAATCACATAGAGAATGAAGTGACGAGAACGTCTGTAGAAAAGAATGCAGGAGATGAGAACTCAGATATGCAATAGGTATCAGGCCAAACCACAAAAATTTTGAGGGAAATCATAGCTCTGACAGGAAATCGGGCCCCATAAGATCAAAACCAACCA